TGTGTATATGTGTGTGTGAACGTGTGTATGTGTGTATATGTGTGTGCACAGTCCAGGCTTCCATCCCTGCATCGACCATAGTGTAGTGCAAAAAAATGTTTCCACCAGAAGAAGATGAGTTCCCGTCTGTCCTCGACTTAGTCCTGCAGAAAGCCTTGTGCATGGTAGATGCTCAGTTAAAATAACCCGAGTTTCTATGGGAGCTCTATCTAGCCTAAATTTTTCTTTGAACCAATGTTATATTCATTTTCAGGTATTTTGAATCTCATCACACTAGCTTATTTAAGCTCTTTTATCCTTTGTTTTTGTGACAAAGTATGTATGCATTTGTTGTTTAGTCGCTAAGTCATGTCCCACTCTTTGTGATCCCATGGACTGTAGCCCACAAGGCTCCTCTGTCTATGGGATTTCCCAGGCAAGAATACTGGAGTGGGTTGCCATTTCCTTTTCCAGGGCATCTTCCATACCCAGGGATTGAACCCACGTCTCCTGCATTGGTAGGTGGATTCTTTACCACTGAGCCACCAGAGAAGCCCATCTGTGTGTGTGTGTGTGTGTGTGTGTGTGTGTGTGTGTGTGTGTATGTATGTGTGTGTGTGTGTATTAGTCCCTCCATCGTGTCTGACTCTTTGTGACCCCATGGACTGTAGCTTGCCAGGCTCCTCTGTTTATGGGATTCTCCAGGCAAGAATACTGGAGTGAGTTGCCATTCCATTTTCCAGGGTATCTTCCCAACCCAGGGATCTACCCCAGGTCTTCTGCACTGAAGGCAGATTCTTTACCTCTGAGCCACGGGGGGAAGCCCAGGACACCCACCCAGAAAGGTGATAGCAGCCTTGCGCAGAGCCTTTAAGCTGCTCCTCTGCCTCTGCTGAACCCTCAGCCATCCCCCTTTCTAGAAAGGAGCTTAAGGAGCTTGGTGTCTCTCAGCTCAGCTGGATGGGATGAATCTTCTTTGGGTCCCCTCCTCTCCTCCCACCTCCGGCTCCCAGCCTCAGCCATCTCTCCCTCCCTGCTCAGCAAGATCAGGGAAGCTGCAAACCGAACCCTTACATCAAAAGGGAACTTGAAAAATTCTTGGAGCAAAAACTGCTAACTGTGCATCCTTGCTCCGTGCTGCCTCTGATATTAAATCAGGAAATGGCACTGAACAGTCGCTCCAAACACAGAAACAGGGTTGTCAACACAGAAACCAAAAGCAATCTCTAATGGGCAGAGGTGAAAGGGACCTGGAGTGGGGCTGGGATGGGGTGCTGAGACCGAGGAAGGGATCCCTGAGTCGGGCTTGTCCGGGCTGTTTCTCCAGCATCTAGAATGGAGCCAGACTCCCAGCCCTGGGCACGGAGAGCACCTTGTCTCCATGAGAGATAAATGAGAAATCGAGCATGTTGTCTCAACCTTTGTGATGCTCCTTTTAATTTCTACAGATATTTACTGAGTGCCTATGATGTGTCCAACAGGGAAACAAATGAACAAAAAATGCCTGCCCATTTGGGTGATCTTCTAGCTATGACTGGGGTCTGACTCTGGCATGACATTCAAGGCCTTTCAAGTGTTGGCTCCTGAAATAGCCTCTTTGAAATAGCCCGCCAAATGCCCGAGATGTCCCTCTGCTCCGGTCTTTGTCTGGGCTAGGCCTACTGCAGGATCGCTCTGTCCTTCTATGATACATTTCTGCTCAGCCTTCAAAGCCTTAGTTAAGTGCAGCCTTATCAGCGGACCCTTCCCCTAACCCCCTTCAATAGAACCAAGGGCTCGTTTGTTGAGGATCTGCCTGCATTATAGATGCATCATCACCATACTTCTCCAGCTGCAATGGCAGGGTTTGCAGCTCCCTGGAGGGGAAGAAAGAAGCCATGCCCATTCCTTTTCCCCATCTCCCAGTACTAGTTACATGATAGACATAAGCAGAACTGAGACAAGAAATGAGAAACTGTGATAAAAACACATTGTTGGTGTGGCTGTGGGGAAACAGGTTACTTTCATATATCTCTGGTGGAAAATTCAAAAGGGCCAATCTTCTTAGAGGCTAATTTGCATGTTAACATTACAAATGTGGTCATCTTTCTTTCCATCCAGCAATTTCATTCTCTACTATCTACTGCAGAGAAACACTTGCACACATGCAAAGAGGAGCATGTAAAAAGCAATTTCTTGCAACATTGTTTGCAACTGTGAAAGATGGGAAAGAGCTTAAATGTCCATAAATACAAGACTGGATAAAAAACTACAGAGCATCCATTGGACAAATTGTTGTGCATTAGTTAAAAAGAAGGAAGTAGATCTCGATGTATTGACACAGAAGTTGCTGAGTAAAAATAAAAAGTGAGTGGTAGCTCTAGACATAGATATTAAAACTACATTGTTGCATTTTTTACAATGAGAAAGTAGGCTTGTTTATCTTGTATAATTCATTTGTGAAAGGAGAAAGGGAAGAAAGAGATGGAGCAACCACTGTCACTCCTGGCTGAAATAAGAATTGGCTCCAGATGCAGTCAAACAATATTATTCCTTTCATCAGCCCTCGACAGCAGTTTCCAGTGGTGAGAAGGTGCCACCCACTTCCCCTGTGCCCAGAAGCTTAGCTGATGAGAATGTGGTGGGAAGCTGGAGTCCTGGACCCCTGAAGAACATCCAGGTAGAGGAGATGGGAAAAGGGGAGGTTGGTGGGATGGAATCACTCAGATGAACCAGATTTCTCCTGACTTTGTCCTTTCTCTAAAGAGGAAGGGTAAGGATTGGTTTAGGAATGATTGTTAACTATGGAAGAGAAGGGCATTCAGAAAAAGCTTGAAGCCCATGCTAAGGAGTTTAGTTCTTTGTCCAAGTGTCGAAGGACTCTGTAATTAAACCTGGGGGAGGGGTGAAGTTAGAATAATCAGATTCACATGAAAACTGGTTCTACTACACTGTGGAGAAAACAGAAGTCTGAGCCAAGACCTCTGTAGTCATCTAAGCAAAAGATGAGGGTGACTTGGATGAGGGTGAAGGCATTGGACAGAGAAACTGAGGTCTTAAGTGATGATTGGGAAGTAAGGGATGAAAGACTCAGCCCTGGAGAGCAATGATGATGAGGTTCTAGAGTCTCTAATGTTGTCCTTCGGGGTCTTGGGGAGGGAGTGGGCAGGGAGGAGCCCTGCTGGTCCTCCTCACTGGCCTTGAGTGACAGTGAACTTCTCATCAGCTTCGAGCCATCTCCCCCCATGCCACCACCACCATAGGGATGGATGGATGGGGGCTGAAGGTCAAACAGGCTGATGATACAACTCAGGACAGAGGTAGGATGAAGGATCAAGGTCATGATTAGAGGTCAGGTTGTCCTTTATCAAAGGCCAGGACCTTGGAGAAGACTCTGCAAACTCTCTCTCCTTTGCTTGCATCCTGCCCCATTTTCTAACTTCCATCCTCCAGCCCCATCCCTCGGGGAAGAGGAAAGAGAGCAAGAGTGAACTCAAGGATGTTTGAGTGCATTGACCAGAGGATGGACATGTTCATCACTGCCTGGATAATTGAGCTCTTGGCAGAGACTTGGCAAAGGCTAGCGGCTCAGCCGTGACCTGAAAGGAACCACCAGGTCTCCAGAGAGCTGGAAATCCTGACCCAGAGAGCAGCTGAAGAACTGTGCTGACACTGGGTCTCTGGGTTGCCACCCAGCCAAGGTCAAGACCACGTGCTTCATAGTATTCAGGGTACTGGACTTAGGGCATGAAGCTCCAACTGATCACTGCTGTGTTGCTAAAGAAACCACTTACCTTTCTGAGCTTCCTTCTTTGTGTAGGGTGGTGATAATTCTCCCCATCTCCAAGGGCAGTTGTGGGGACTGAATGAGTTGCTAAAACTCTTTGGACACTGCTATACATCTTTATTTACCTACCTGCCTACCAACCTTATAGAGTGGTGAGGACTGAAGGAAAAAGTGAAAGATAAAGGCTTTCAGAATCTCTGTACAGGTGGGTGTGGATATTATTATTAAATATTCCATCTATATTGGAAGCTAGCAGGGCTTCCCTGATGGCTCAGTGGGTAAAAAAAATCCGCCTGCTATGCAAGAGACACAGGAGACGTGGGTTTGATCCCTGGGTTGGGAAGATCCCCTGGAGGAGAAAATGGCAACCCACTCCAATGTTCTTGCTTGAAAAATCCCGTGGACAGAAGAGCCTGCTGGGCCACAGTCCAAGGAGCTGCAAAGAGTCACTGAGCAACTCAGCACACACTGGAAGCCATACCGCCCAGTGGTTGTCTAACACGTGCTGTCCAACGAGAAGAGAATATAAGCCACGTGTCTAATTTAAAAATTTCTAGAATTCACATTAAAACGAAGTAAAAAGAAGCAGGTAAAACAGTTTAAATGATAAATTTCCATTCCCAGCATGAGTCTGGGTTGTGGGGGAGTTGGGGGAGTCCCTGCCCCTAGGGAAGGAAGCTGGGAAAAGGCTCTGCAGAGTTGGGGTAACTCTGGCTTCTTACCGGAGCCCACTGAGTCCTTCAGATGCATAAGGCCACCAAGACCCAGAAACCTGAGAATGCCTTTTAGGAAGCATGGGGTTGGAATTCGGTGGCCACTGTGTGCAGCAGCGAACAGCGGAACTGACAGCTGCCTTCGGGAAAGAGGGAGAGGAAGGGAGAATTATCTGCTGCCTCTTCTTGGAGGCTGAAGACCTCAGGTAACAGAGCGAGTGCCAGCGAAGGAATCTCCTCTTCCCAATGGGCCCCGCAAAACGTAGCGGAGATTTCAGGGCTCCTTAGAGGAGACAGGTGATCCGATATCAGGGTGATGCAAACGCAGAAGGCAGACTCCTGGGGGATCCCCTGACTCAGGTACCTCCCGGGCACAGCGCACCCTGAGGCCCTTGGAAACACTGGCTTCCGATTGGCGACCCGGGATAGTACAGTCTTGCAACCTTCTTGGCACCGAAGCGGAGAGTTGCCGGTTCCGTGATTCGAAGCATTCCCTGGGCCGGGCTTCCCTACCCAACACACACACACACACACACACACACACCCCTCCCGCACCGCCTCCCACTGCACCCACGCACGCACAGAGACGCCCACTCCCACACCAAACACCTGCAGCTCTCTGGAAACGACGAGTGTACGGTGCACGCTGGGGCTGAACTCCGCTGCGGGGAGTGCCGCGCTGGGTCGGAGGCGCACCGGAGAGGGCGCGGGCCACTCTCGGGTTAGCCGGTGGGTTGGGGAGGGGCTGAGGGAGCCGCGCCCCTGGGACCCGGCAGAAGGCGGCGGACGTGCAGTTCCCTTAAGGAATAACTTTTTCGTCCATCCCCACTCCGGAGTCCGGAGGCTCCGCTGTGGCTCGGAGGCGCACAGCCTCCTTGATCACCATCTCTGAGCTGAAGAATCCCAAGGTGGTGCGCTCAGAACGCATCGCTTCTGACCCCACCTGGGGTGGGTAGGGAGAAGGGGTGAAAACTTCAAATTATAGTTTGGGGGTTAGAGACAGCAAACTGTTCAGAAGAGGTCTCTGGCCGCCACCAGTCCTGCTTGGCTTTCCTTCCAAAGAGGCTCGGGCTCAGCGGGCGCGCTGCTTCTGTGTCTCCTGGCCTCCTTCCCTTCACGTCTCCTCCTGCACTCTCCACCAGTCCTACCAACCCTTATCTTTTATTCCTTTCTTCCCCCCACTCCCTATCCCACTCATCTTTCAGGGGTGGAGTGTAGCCTCCTGGTACGTGTTGATGGGGATCCCCGCGCGCTGATCCTTACAGCCCCCGCCCCCCCCCCCCCCCGCCGCCACTTCCAACCCGCTCCCCGGGCTCGGAGAGGAGGCACCCGCGTTGGCTGGCAGGGAAAGGACGCCATCCGGGTTTGGGGCACCGCGACCCCGCCGCAAAGCGCAGCAGGAGCCAGGGTGGGGAGGCCGGGCCGCCCCGTGAGGTCGGCTGCTCTGCATTGGCTTTCACTCCGGAGTAACACGCTAGTCTGCTTCACTTTTATCCAGTTTCCAAGTTTTTGGTGGAGGTGGTTGGGTGCAGGGTGGATAGAGGAGGGGCTGGCTATAGGGGAAGGTGGATCTGAAACTGTACAGAGGCAGCTAAGCCAGAGCCCAGGGGAAGGGAGGGACCGAAACGGCAAACAGAGGCTCAGGGACAAAGAGGAACGCGACCGCCCGGACAAAGTCCGAGTTCTAGACGCTTGTAGAGCGCGGCCGGACGCCCGCAAGCGAGCAGGAGGCTAGAACCCAGAGGGCTGGGGCGGAAGGAAGCCTTGGGCCTCGACGTGGCACACTCCTGAAGCTCAGGTTGGGTCCTCGACAGTGAGGGTCAGACAGACCCGAGGGTCCACCAGGAGGGCCCAGACCGGCCGGGCAGCCTCAGTACTCTCGCAGAAGGCCAGAGTGTCCGCGCGAAGGAGGGAGCTGACAGATAGGATTCAGTGGCACCGGGAGAGCCCCGTGCTTGGGTCCGGCTCTGGCCGCCAGGAGCCTGAGCCATAGTCTGCTTAGATCCGAGAAGGCCGACCCTGTGTAGCCTCGAACAGTCCCCCTGCAGAGCCGCGATCTGAGTGCGCTCTGGCTGTCGGAGAACGGGGCAGGGACCCGCAGGGTGCGTGTCCGGAGCGCCCAACTTCGATCAGGGGCGGGGCGGCGGCACGGCCCGGACTCTCCTGGGAAACAGCCTAAACGTTTCTGCGGAGAGCACGCTTCGCGCAGAGGACTGAAGACCGGCTCTTCCAGCATTATAGCTGCTGATCCAAACCTTGCAGTCCCAGTCTTTGTTCAAATATATTAATTTTATTAAACATAGGTGGCCAGGGTCACACCTCACTCCAGTCTTACCGTGGGCGCAAGAGAACAGAGTTTTCAAAATTAACTGGAGGCAAATATTTTACCTTCTCACACTTAAACCACATCTGGCAGCCGCCGCATGAGCGTGCCCATCTGACCCTACGCGTGGCGTCGGTCTTGCGGGGGGGGGGGGTCCTGCATTGGCGGCGGCCGGGACACACTCACCCAGTGCGCGCCTCTCCTGCCTTTCGCTGCGCTCTCGCAAAGCCGAAGAGCAGAAGGCGACGCCGGAGGCGGGTCTTGTCTCCGGTTACAGCGAATTTGCGATTTATCCGGCTTCTGCGCCCGGGCCGGGGTCTCCAGAGCTCATATTTCGGGCCACCCTGTACCCGATAGAGAAGGTGCGCAGCGCCCAGGCACGCTATGGATGCTTCAGTGCGGTGCGCTCAGGGGTCTCCGTCTGCGCTCGGGGTTGGTTTCTCATCGGACAACCCTGGGGCCCCTCGCAGTGGCGTTTCCGCTTTCGGTCATCCGTCGAATTCGGCCTAGGACCTTCCCGTGCAAGGAGCCGCCTCCAGGCATCCCTCCCTGCTCCTCCGACCCCCGACCCCCGGAGCCAGAGCGCGGAGTTTCATGGGGGGAAATCAGCGCGGAACTCGGGGCTGAGTCTGAGGACCGAACTGAGAACCTGTGTGTGGCTCTAGAAGAAACTGTCTTGGGCTCCGGTGCACACACAGACTACGTTCCGGGCCGCTTTGGGTTGGGCCGGTTGGGAAGACCCAGCTGGGTCCGAGTGGTCAGCCGAGCCTTTCCGCTGCGGGCCCCGCGATTCGGCGCGTCTTTGCGCACAGTGGCCACTTGGAGTCGCACTTTATGCCTGTTTGAGCCTCTCCTCCGGCTGACGCCGGGATCTGCTTAATCGTTACAAAACGTTCAAACAAAAACAGGGCCGGTTTCCCAGCAGCCGGGAGCCATCCGGAGCACCGTCCTGCACTGGCCTCAGTGCCCAGCCACGGAGAACTCAGTGGATTCTCCGCGTTTGGCTGGGGAGAGGGCTTCGGAACCTTTGGACCAGTTCTTCTCCTGCTCCCTTCATCTCGTGCATTTGTGGGTGGGGTGTGCGGGGAACCGAGGCCGATCTCGGGACTCGGCCGCCGCACCCGCCAGGAGGGGGACGGCTCCCGCTTGGCCTCGAGGAGGGTCCCCTGATCCTAAGAGTTGGATTTGAACACAACTCTTGGAGTCCCGACCCCGCCCCCCGCCCCAACACACAAATATGCGCAGACCTGCAGAAACACAGCCACGCACTGCACACACGCGGCCGCGCGGCACACGGAGCATCTCCCACCGAGCAGGGGACGCTTGGGAACAATGGACTCGAGAGGTGTCGTCCCGGCGCTCATTCTGAACCTCTGGAGCTTGGGGGACACGGGTTGGGGGAACCAAGGGTAAAGAGGGAGGAGAGCTCGCGAAGGAAGGGGTGGAGGCGGCGGCCCGGCTTGAGGCGCGGAGGGGGCGCGCACGGAAGGCGAGCGGGCGGTGGCCGGGACACCGAGGGGGTGGGGTGGGGGCTGGGCCCGGGCCGGCGGTCCCTCTCTGCTTCAGCCCTCCGCCAGGCCTCGGCGGCTCTCCGGCTGCTCGCGCCGCCAGTCAGCTGACTCGGGGGGCGGAGGAGCTGTCAGGCGCGCCCCGCCCTGCGCCGCCCGGCCGCGGGGCCCGTACAGCCATTGGCCAGCGCGCCGGGCTGCCCGGGCCCCCGCGCCCCGGTGACATCAGGGAGGCGATAAAAGGCAGCAGCGGCGCCGGATCCCGCACAGCTGCACCGCCGGGCTGCGAGCGGCTGCGATCCAGAGAGCCCCAGAGCAAGAGAGCTAGAGAGCGAGCGGCGGGCGCTTGCCCGGCGCCTCCCCTCCGCCCGGCCGCGCGCCCCGCTCGCTTCTCCACCCACTCCCGGCCCGGCCCGGCCCCGGCGCGGCCACAGCCCCGAGCTCTGGGGCGGCGCAGGCAGGCTCGGGACTCTCCGGCGCGCCGCCGCGTCCCCAGACAAAGGCTTGGCCGGCGGCCCCGGCCCGCTGCGCCCTCGGCTCCTCGCCTCCCGGGCTCGCCGCTCTTCGCCCCCGCTCCCGGCTCGGCGCGTCCCGGCCGGCCGCAAAGTTTCCCGGGCGGCGGCGGCGGCTGCGCCTCGCGTCAGCGATGGCCGCGGAGCTGAGCATGGGGCCCGAGCTGCCCACCAGCCCGCTGGCCATGGAGTACGTGAACGACTTCGACCTGCTCAAGTTCGACGTAAAGAAGGAGCCGCTGGGGCGCGCGGAGCGCCCGGGCCGGCCCTGCACGCGCCTGCAGCCAGCCGGCTCGGTGTCGTCCACACCGCTCAGCACGCCGTGCAGCTCGGTGCCCTCGTCGCCCAGCTTCAGCCCCACCGAACAGAAGACTCACCTGGAGGACCTGTACTGGATGGCGAGCAACTACCAGCAGATGAACCCCGAGGCGCTCAACCTGACGCCCGAGGACGCGGTGGAGGCGCTCATAGGCTCGCACCCGGTGCCCCAGCCGTTGCAGAGCTTCGACGGCTTCCGCGGCGCGCACCATCACCACCACCACCACCACCCACATCCGCACCACGCGTACCCCGGCCCCGGAGTGGCTCACGAAGAGCTGGGCCCGCACGCGCACCCGCATCATCACCACCACCACCAAGCGTCGCCGCCGCCGTCCAGCGCGGCCAGTCCCGCGCAGCAGCTGCCCACCAGCCACCCCGGGCCTGGCCCGCACGCGGCGGCCGCGGCGACGGCGGCTGGTGGTAGCGGCAGCGTGGAGGACCGCTTCTCCGACGACCAGCTCGTGTCCATGTCCGTGCGCGAGCTGAACCGCCACCTGCGGGGCTTCACCAAGGACGAGGTGATCCGCCTGAAGCAGAAGCGGCGGACCCTGAAGAACCGGGGCTACGCCCAGTCGTGCAGGTATAAACGCGTCCAGCAGAAACACCACCTGGAGAATGAGAAGACGCAGCTCATTCAGCAGGTGGAGCAGCTTAAGCAGGAGGTGTCCCGGCTGGCCCGCGAAAGAGACGCCTACAAGGTCAAGTGCGAGAAACTCGCCAACTCCGGCTTCAGGGAGGCGGGCTCCACCAGCGACAGCCCCTCCTCTCCCGAGTTCTTTCTGTGAGTCGTGGCCGCTCCCGGCCCCCGCCCTTGCCCCGGCCCGGACTCCCCCGTCCCGTATCCCAAGCCCCGGACTCCCCCGGCCCCTGTCCCTGCCACGGCCCCAGCCTTGACCTGTTCGACTGGAGGGAGGAAGGGCGCGCGGGACGCGGGCGACGGGAGGGCGCGCGGGCAGGCAGGGGACCTTGGCCAAGGCGAGCGCGGCGCGCGCCAGCGCCGCCTCCTAGACTCGAGCAGAGCCGGAGAGAGGCGAGGGGGGTGGGAAGTCCCAGAGCAACTTTTCTCCAGGCTGGAGGGCGGCAAGGCATAGTCGCGAGGAGTCGCCAAGGCCGTCTGGAGACTCCTGGCTTCCTGAACTTTTGCGCGTTAAGCCGGGGCAGCTGCCTCGCAGTCCGGAGCGTAATCCAGCCCAGCAACAGAGCAGCGAGGAGAGGAAAGGAGAAGGGACCCTGGCGGCCCGTTCCGGCAGGCGCGAGGCGAGGCTGAGCGAAGGAAGGACAGAGGCGGACCTGTCTTTTCCAGGGTCCGGAGAACACTGGCTTTCAGCCCCGAGACGCGGGCCTCAATTAGGACGTTCTGCGCGCAAATCTCATCAATTTTATTGCCTGCTCGATTATATAGAAAAAATACGAAAATCTGCATTAAAAATATTAATCCTGCATGCTGGACATGTATGGTAATAATTTCTATTTTGTACCATTTTTCTTGTTTAACTTTAGCATGTTGTTGATCATGGATCATAACCCCCTTGTTTTCTTTGGGTGAGAAGGATCGCAGTTCGGAAACTCCGGCGGGCGGCCGCTTGTCCGGTTGCAGTCTATCGGCTGTCGGCATGTAAATACCCGCCCCGCCAAATCGCTTAGAGAACGCGGCAGCAAGTGGAGTGTCTTTGTTTGGGTTTATTATTATGGCTTTTTTTTTCTTTTGTAAGTAGAAAAAAAAAAAGTTCTGGGCTTTTGCATCAGAAAACAACTTTGTCTTGGGGCACCCCTGGAAGTTGCATGTTTTCTCCCTTTCCCCCACCCGCTTTGGTCCTCTCTTCCTCATCGTTTGTTTTAGTTTTCAATTTTGTTTTTGGTGGGAGAAAGAGGACTGGGGTCCCAGCTACTGAGTCCCAGGGCAGGGCAACTGCTGAGTACCAGTGTGTGCAGAGTTTCACAACCGGGTCCTCCTGTCAGCTGGTCTTAGGGCTCAATTGACACCCCTAACAAGAAAAGAAAGGAAAAACAGGTCTTGTTTGCTTTTTATTGCAACCAGAATCACTCCCAGGGTCCCCACGAAACCCTCCAGGCTGGCACTGGCACTAATTGCTGGGGCCAAAGAGCTCCTAGGGCAATCGGCTTCAGCAGTCCCGACCACCCAACTTAGGTCGAACCAACCACCACACTCAGAAAATATCAGAAACCCCAACAGTGGCAAGACATTTTGCAACTTTCAAGTGCGTTCTTTAGAGCTATATGTTATGTGTGTTTTCTTTCCCTGCTTTTGAGATGGCGGGCGAGTTATTGGTGGTGTTACCCCCTCCCCCACCCCTTCAGTTGTATAGTAGTTATAGGGAAGATCTGGGTGTTTTTCTTTATTATTACTTTTTTTCTCCCCTGCAGGTCAGTAAGAGGATTTAAGTTGCACTGACAAAAATACCAAAATGAAAGCGTATTTTTTAGTTCTCATTTGAAATTGCTGGCGCTGCTGGCCGGATGCATTTTTGAGTTTGTATTAGTTGATAAATTAACAGTAATAACAAGATTGTATAAACCGCATGGTGCTTGCAGTTTTAAATATTGTGGATATTTGTCCTGCATTGGAAACGAGCTTCGGTTTTTACAGATTCAACTGTGTTGAAATCAAATTTGCCACAACAGAAATTGTTTTTATTTCATGTACAATAAGGGATCAATTTCAAACCCTGCTTATGATATGAAAATATTAAAACCTAGTCTATTGTAGTTTTATCCAGACTGGTTTCTGTTTTTTGGTTATTAAAATGGTTTCCTATTTTGCTTATTAAAACCATGGAAATGGTGTTTATTTAGAGGATTCTGCGTTCGCCTGACTTTTCTTCTCTTGCCTCTTCAAGAGTCGACCCAATTTGAGGGTACTCTCACCCCTCCCCTGGCCGGTGGAGAAACAGCCCAAGTCTGGGCAGACCTCTCCGTTGAGTGTGTGGTGAGTGTGTGTGTATCTGAGTCTTAAATGTGTTTTCTGCTTCTCACCCTAGGTACAGACACCGGTCAGGAGCCGGTGTTCGTGAGCAGAGAGGGGGCACATGCCACTTTGGTGGAGCTTTCAGGCTTGGGCACCACGATTGGTTTGCTAGCCTGCTGGCTCTGAGGTTGGCCAAAACCAGGAAGCTGGGAGTTGTCACCCTGATGGGGAAACAGGGTATTTCTGGCAGTCAGGCTCACCGGCCCTGCCATGTCCAGCCTGGTGCATCTGCTGGGAGCAACCAGAATTACCCTGGAATGCCTGCTCTGAGTGGAGGCCCAGCCCCTTCTCCCCGCAGGGCCTGTGGAAGCAAGTGGCATCTAATATGAGGTCTTGGGGTGGAAGACCTTTCAGACAGCAAACCTGTTTGCTGCCACTTGGGCCTGGAGTGGTCAGCCCCCAGAAGGATCAAACCAGAATTTCAATGACTCCCTAAACCAGGGCTTGGGGCCATTCTAAGCCAGCAGCTCTGACCATAAGTCCATGACTGGGAGGTGGTCCCGGAACCTGTCCTTATCCAGACTCTTAGAGAAGGCAAGGTTACCTGCCTAGGTTGTCCCGAGCCCCTCTCAGCCCTCTTAGAACGCCATCTATAATTCTGGGTAGGAACCACCACCCTCCCACCACCTCCAGAAGAATTCTCTGCTGCTTTGGCAACAGCAGGTTCCAAGGGATTTCTGATCTCCTTAGACACAGTATCTGCAATTCGGGAGACTCAGCCTTCCAGTCTTGGGTCCTAAGGTGGAGCTTCAGTACTTGAATGGGGGAGATGCAGGAATCCCAGAAGGTAGAACCCCAGCCAGGGACTAGAGCTGGAAAGAGACAAGGAGAGGAACGGGGAGGGTGAAACTACCAGGGAATAGGTTTTGGCCTAGTCCCTGGAGACCTGGGATTGGTGGCCAGGGTATAAGAAAGGGGAAAATCCCTATAGTAAGAATACAAATGCCAGCAGTAATTTACGCTTAGCAGTGCTGTGGTGTGGTTTAGCAGGAGAGAAGTCGAAGATCCTGGCTCAAGTTAATTCTAAGGCCCAGTTCATTTCACCAACCCAAAGAGGTATATGGCAGGGAAGGCTTTGGCTGAGGGGAGAATGGAAGTCTGGCAGTGGGGTGACTGCCTGCGTGAGTTCAGCAGAAGGGACAAGGGGCTATGATTAGTTGGGTAACTGTGTGCACAAGTGCACATAGTATAAGAGTGTGCCCCACTTGGACAAGCGTATCCCCTTTAGGGCAAAATAAGGTCTGGCAGGTGGAGTTCTGGAAGAAACCAGCAAGGGCATCCCTGTGGGACCAGGCGGGATCCTCAGGACTCCGTGGTTGGAGACTTGACTCTCTTTGGAATCCTCCCAAGCAGAACTGGCACCCTCCACCTCTAGAGTCACCTGGACTCTGCCAGAAAAGCCTCGGGGCCTGGGGAGGGTCGCAAACTCCAAAGCACCGGTTTTCTTTCCCCAGAGCACAGAGACACAACCCAGCGACCGATGTCATCACAGTGCCTCCAGAACAACGCGGTGGCTCAGGCCGGTGTAGAGTGGCCAAGTGCGTCTCTGAGAAGCTGACAGTCCCACGACGCAGTCCTAGTGACACACTGACACACAGATACACAGACAGCCCCATCTCTCATCCACACGGATGCCATCGCAGACATAACTCCCTGCGCCCCGTCATTGGAGCACCTGCCCGCACAGGCGCACGCAGGCTAAAGCCGGGCAGAGCGGGCAGCGCGCCGGAGGAGCCCGGGACCTCGGGAGCCTCCAGGGCGGGCTCGTCCAGCAGGCAAGTCCCGGCCAGCCGCCTCGAAGCAGATCCTGCGCGCAGATGCTCGGGGAAAGCGACCGGTTCCCGACGTCCTTCGGCTCGTCCCTCCCCGGCGGCGCCTTGCGGACCGGAGGCTCCTTGCGGTTCCCACCACTCCCCGCCGCCTGCGGGCTCCTCGCGACCCTCCGAGACCCGGGAGGGGAAAAAAAATCTTCCCCACGCCGGGAGTCCTCCACGCCAGCATGGGTCCCACGCAGACAGCTGGCGCCAGCCTTTGGGGACACACGCCGAGACAGACACGCGGGCCCCGCGACGGAGGCTCCGCTGCAGCCCGCGCCCCGGGCTGGGGGAGGCCCCGGGCGGGTCGGGCGCGTCGGGCGCTCAGGTCCCCTCTTGCTACCCCCAAATCTCGCGGGTTCGCAGGAGGCTGTGCTGGTTGGAAACCAGCCGCCGCCGCCACCTTCCGAGAGGCCGATCGGGTAAGGCGCCCGGCGGCTTCCGGGGGTCCTCCGCGCACCGGCTCTCCCTGACAGCCTCCTGCGTCCTGACTTCTTTGCCATATTCTTTTCCTCAGCCCTTCCTGCGGAAATCATCATCTCAGAAAACTTTCTCTCTCCTTTTCCTCTCCCCGCTCCTTTCTCCCCCCGCCGTCCCCCCCCCCTGCTTTTATCACGGCGCAGCCTGGCAGAGAAGAGCGTTAGGAGCGGGCTCCGAGGTGCCCGGTAAGTGCGGGGAGGAGTGGATGCCAGAGCCTGGCATCCCCGAATCCGCACAGCGCCTGGAGCGCCGGCCAGCTGCTCTGGCTCCCACCTGCCTGATCCCGCTACCCGGCCCTTCCCCTCCCCATCTTTCCCAGCGGCTGGGCTGGTGGCTGAGGATGGATCTAGAGCGAGGTGCCCGCTGGTGGTGGTGGTGGTGGTGAAAGGGGGTCCCTGGGGAGCTAGGGCTAGACCCTAAGCCCAGACCCCTCTTTGCAGCACAGCCAGGCTTCCTCCAGTCAGTCCGGGGTCTCTGGGCATTTCTGTGCCAGGACAACCCCCTTCCCTGTCAGAGGTGCCCAGCTGCCCCCCACCCACTCTGGCTGTGCCCTACCCTGGGGGGCCTCCCAATGCGAGCTGCCAAGAACCACACCAGGTCCCCCACCACGGTCATTTTGCTTTTTTTTTTTTTTTCTCCTGTGACCTAGAGAGGCGGCTTCTGCCACACCCTGCAAAATCCACAGCCACTCAAGCCCACTCCTCAAGTTCTTTCTCTCTGGCCCCCGAGAAAACAGCTGGGTTGAGAGATTTGACTAGTTCCCTTGCAGGCTTTCAGATGCAAAACCCGCTTCTGAGCCCTTCTGTTTTCGGAAAGGAAAACCCAGAACTGGCATCTTGCGTAACCCTTCCCTCTACAGCCCGCGGTCCGCTGGCCTGGCCTCACAGCCCAGAGATAGCAGTGTTTGGATTTGTTATGTAAGGAAGGGAGGATTAGAGGTTTGTGCTGCTCCTCCTCCCCCCACCAAAATAAAAGTCCTCACAAGGCGCATCGCGTTAAAAAAAAAAAAAATCAGTGTTTTTTTGCAGCAGGCGGCAGCTCTCTTGGAAGAATTCAGTCTGGGTAGACAAGCTGCTCCCGAGTTTGTGCCCAGCACAATACTTGGGGGAGATGTGCCAGCTTGCAGTGAAGGGAGACTCCTGCGTTCAGGGTGTACCCTGTTCTTGGAAGCAGCTGGTACTTACAGACTCACGAGGACTAGCCTCCTGTTGGGGAAGGCAGATGCTACTGCTGCTGGAATTTTATCCTTTCTCCAATTCCTGCCCCTGGGAGCAAGGTGCCCAGACCCTGGAAAGCACCCCTTTCACCCGGGGAACCCCCATTCTCTGGTCCCTGCAGGCCTTCACCGTGTAGTACATGCATTTCCTTGCCTTACATGTGTTCTTAATATCTTGTACCCTTACCCCTTGTTCTCCACGTATTATCTTAAAAGATGCATTTAGATAAGAAAATCAGAGCTCACTGTTCTCACTTGGAGGGAATTAAATATACGAGAGAAGTTGCCACTCCAATTTGGAAAAGCAGCTACATTATTAATAAGGATTTGTTTTGAAGCAGACTCAGTTTTAGCTGCCTCTCTGCATTCTTTGTCTGTGAAGTTACTTTCATGTGAAATAGCAGCCACTCATTACACATTTCTTTTTGTTGGTATAAAAAAAAATTAATAAATAAAGGATGATATCCTTTAGATTGGAGGGGCCACCGCAGGGGCAGGGGGAGGAGGCCTGCAACTTTTGGAAGAAGCCAGTTGCTGTGAGAAGAGAGAGCTGAAGTCCACAAACTCAGTATTTATATTGTTTTGCTTTCATTTTTTGGAGCTTGGGGCCCTTTATCAGGGCTTGCATTTTCTACAGTAATTAGACAAAGATGGGAAGCTAGACGGTGTCCATTTTGGAGCTGGTGAGGGTAGGTGGTCATTGAGCCTGGCTTGTGACTCCAACAGGAATCAGGAACCGAGGTTGTCTTGAGGTTACTCGCAAGTCCCCTAGTTTCTTCTGATCTGTCACTTTCACTGCTCTGACCCTGCTGGGGTTACATGCATCTCTGTTCTTCTGAGGAGAGGCCATGGATCTGGTCTGGTCCAGGAGCAGTAAAGGGCTTCCTGATGCAGGACTTGGCATCTGCCCTCCTTCATGTCCTGGGAATCTGAGCCTGACACACCCTAATCCTTTTCCAGGGACCAGGGGCAAGCCGATCGTAGCACATGTAAGGCCTGACCAGTTCACGAGGTATATCCCATCACGACATTTCACTTGACTCTCTGAGTGTGGACTGCTAGTATCCACACCAGTCAGGGATGGAAAAATAGGCCCAGAGCAGTCATCTCTTACCCAGGGTCATCCAGTGCAGGATCTAGGACTTGAATCCCCACCTATCTGATGCCAAAATTCATCTTTTTGCCACCGAACTCCAAAAGTACACTATGCCTTATCTGAAACACTGGGGAGTAGGGTAGAGTTTAGAGAAAACCATGGACTGGTGGGAAATAGCCTTTGTGGGGGACAATTTCTTTTCTAGTTCTCTTTGTAGAGGGCAGTCACTTTCTTGGGGGTATATGTGAGGCTCTCCAGCCACAGGGCTCCCGGCCCAGGCACAGGGATGGGGAACGGGGCCTTGGAAACGCAGCAGGACTAATGCTGCAAGAGGGTGGGAGGGACACGGCAGGTCTGCTGCCCATTTCAGTCTCATGGAGGAGCCAGCAAGTCACGGTGCTTGTGTGTTTGGGGGTGTGTGTGTGTGTTGCGGGGAAGCCCACCTGGGCATTGTTAGGCCTGGGACACTGGTGCTTTTTGTAATTAGAGTCCTCTCACCTTTATCTGTTCTCGATGGAGCTTTCCAAAAAATATTTCATGACGATCAGGGCACGTGTTTCTAGAGGAAGCAGCCTCTAGGTGAGGCAGTTTTGATGGAATTGTTCATAGATGAACCAGAGCTGTTTCCAGTATGATACGGGAGCTTTGGACCCTCACCGAGGTGTGCCTACACTCTCACGCAGGCACCTGCAGAAACGTGTGTGTAATTCACACTTACATGCACAGAGGCAGGCACATAGCTGCACACACATTTAAATGCAGAATCCATGTGTGCTTATTTGCTGCACATTCACTTGCATGTATGTATGCACATGCAGGTACATTGCACATGGACCCACAGGTATATATCCATGCCCATGTGTGTGCCTGTCCAAATGCCCATACACACCCACTTATGCAGTGTGCATGGAATGTGCAACATTATACACATGCCTGTATGAATTTACACTTTCACTGAAACACAACTGATTGCTTGTGTATATACACTCACACAAGATATGTGTGGGTCACATACACAAATGCACACGTTGGGTACTGAGCAGTGGCCTTCACATGCATTCACACATAAGCACCACGTCACAAGTGAAATGTGGCTCTGGTGGGGTTATTGGAGGCCCAGACTCCCATAAATATTTATACGAAGCACTCAAGCTCTCAAAGCGGGAGACGAAACCTCTCCCTCCAAGCCGCTGTAAATCAAGCAGCCGCTGCGTGGTACCTGTCAGATCCAGGGCTGTGTGCTCCTGGACCTGCTCCATGAGGGCGGCCATATACGTGCTGGAGCACACGGGCCTCTCCCCACCTCCCCAGGCATCCCAGCCGATGTGCCAAGGTCGGGCCCAACACTCCGAGGATTCTTCTGTGAGCAGCGAAAAGAAGCGTTTGAACACTGCTGCTACTGCTAGTGCAGGGAGGCTGTTTGTGAATATCTGAGCCTAAGATTCTCCATTGAAGAGAGAAGTGATCCTAGAGGGCCTTGGAGAGCTGGTGGGTGCTAAAGAGGGCTGGAGGTCCTGGGCTGACCCAGGCTCACTGCAGCGGGGACTCCAGCTTCTGGGGTTGACTAAACTTTGGGCCCCAGGAGCCTGCTGAATGAGGCTGATACTGAGCTATACTGAGTAACCCTGTGTTCAGTGAATATTCTGCCTCCCATCCTGCCACCTCAAAGCTCTCATTCAACTACTGAGCAAATATTTGTTGTGTGTCTTCTCTATGCCAGGCACTGTACTAGGCACTGTGTCTTCCATCTGCCGGACCATACGACAATGGGCAAGGCCAGAAATAATCCCTGCAAACAAGTCTTCATGGGGTTTACAGTCTAATAGGAGAGAAAGAGGGCTTCCCAAGTGGCTCAGTGGTAAAGAATCCACTTGCCAACACAGGAGACACAGTTCGATCCCTGGGTGGAGAAGATCCATAGGAGGAGGAAATGGTAAGCCTCCCCAGTACTCTTGCCTGGGAAATGCAATGGACAGAGAAGTCTGGGGGGCTACAGTCCTTGGGGTCACAGAAGAGTCAGACATGACTTAGTGACTAAAGGGCAACAAGGAGAGTGAGAGATGCGGTTAGATGCTAAACTATCCAGGGTGTAATTTCAAAAGGAGATAACTGCTATGGAGGCACGAGACCGAGTCCTCTGAAAGCCTATGTATAACAAAGAAGCTGACGCAGACTGGGGAAAGAGTGGTCAGGGAGGGCTTCCTGGAGAAAGTGATGTTTGAGTGAAGATCTGAAGTGTGAATAGGAGTTATCCAAGTCAAATGGATATGGGAAGAACATTCTAGGTCTAAATCTCTTTTAGTCTTAATTTTAAAATAAGTGATCATGATCTCTGTCTCCTTGCTGATTTTCTCTTCTATTTTCTCACCTTGCTCACTGTCCTGCCACACTGACTGACTGATAATTCTGGAACCTGCTAGATACACTCCTAGCTTAGGGCTTTGGCTTGAGCTGTTTCCTCTGCCTTCCCTCAGACAAAACTATGGCAAACTCCCTCTTCTCCTTCAAGTCCTTGCTCCAATTTCACTTCCTTGATCAGGCCTATCCTAATGTCTCTACTTGATCTAATAACTTGCTCCCTACCGCCTTCCTGAACATTCCTGACCTGCCTTATTCTGCTTTACCATTTCCTTT